TGGTGCTTCGGTGTTGGGAGCAGTGTTAAATAGATGAGGATCATGGCGTTTGTTGCATTTGTCTCCATACCGACACTTACCCTTGGCCCAATGCCAGCATGGTTCATCAATCTTCTTGGTCTTGTTTGCTGGAGATTGACTTCTTGGAGTTCCTGGCTTCCGACCATTCCCTTTTGCGTTCTTATTCGCCTCGAACACCTTCTGATCATGACTGTATTCACAATCTTTGCCTTTTCTGCATGACTTCTTGATGAAATGGAAATGGCATGGGATCTTCTTCTTGGATCTGGGGCTGGTACTTCGGCTGATTGCTCGATCCTTCCCTTTCCCTTTTCCTTTTCCTTTTGCATGCTGTTTAGGCTGAGGCGATGGTAGAACTGGAGCTGCATCGGCCTTGGCCTTCGCCTTGGGCGCTGCCTTCTCCTTGGGAGTAGCTTTAGGCTTCGCTTTTGGATTTGCATCCGGTACAGCGGCAGTTGGGTTCGGAGCAGGAGCTGAAGGTTTGCCGCCACCTGCAAATTCTCTCGCATACTTCTCTCTGGCGGCCACATGCTTGTCCTCTCTGATTCTGGAGATGTGTCTTTCAATGACGTCCAATAGGTAACGATAATTTCGTTTTTGGTCTCCCTCCATCCACGACTCGTACTGCTTGATGTCGAACGTCATAAGACTCGAATTTCGAATCTTCTTGTAAAGAGCATCACGAAACCAATCATCAGGAGGTACGTCATCCGGCATCATATTTGATACCATCTCCATCCATTTCTCGTAGAACACTTCTAGGTTCGAGTTACCGAAATACTTCATCGACACGATGTGCTCCATGGTGAAGGATGTTTCTCGTTGACCTGGGGTTCTGAAGTGCTCCAGAATCATAGCCAAGATCTCCCGTCCCATGACATAGGTTCCTCTTCGGCTATGACTTTGTGTTCTCAATTTCAATTTGATCGCTACATGACGAGCAACATCACCGGCTTGGGCTATCACGTTTGACAATGCAATTGACAACTTGGCGTCAATGGACTGATACCGTTGCCCCCCACTGTCATTCAATAGCTCGATGTCCGGATTTGGTCGAATAGCCGGCTGTAGCCATGCTTCCCATGCGGCTTTGTCTCCGTCATTGGCCGAGAGAACAACACTCTTGATGAGGTCTGATTGCCAAACCCCAAGATTCTGTTGCTTTGGCCATGGGCTAACATAGACTTTGTCAGCCTCTCGTCTTGACATTCTCGGTACTTCTTCTGCAGTGTAAGCCGCTGTGGAGACATCATCTGCTGAATCGCGTTGTGATCCTCGGACTGAAGGCAAACCTGGTGGTTCAGGAGGTGGTCCTGGTCCATTAGGCCCGAAAGGGTCTGGAGGTCCATCAGGGTCAGGCGGACCGCCCCATCCACTCGGTGGCTTGTAATAGTCTCTCTCAGTTCCGCCAGCGATCTTGTTGTCAACCTCTTTCAGCAGATCAGCGATTCTTTTGTTTGACTGAGATTGTTGTTGTTGTTGTTGAGGAGGTACAGCATGCCCACGATAGGAATGAGCCACATTTGTCTCATAAGTCAACTCCTTGTCGATCTGCGAAACCCAAGATTTCAGAATGGCATTTTCACTGTTAGCCTCACTCACGTCATTCTCCAGTTTGTCGATGACCAGTCTGGATGCGAGATCGGTGTTGGGAATGCCTGCCGAATAGGGAAGTATGTCAGGATTGATTCTAGCCATAGATGTTTCAGAATCCTTGAGATTTCTTCTCAGTTCATCTAAGTGACGCTTCATGTCAACAATCTCAGAATTCTTGATACCAATCTTTTCATCCCTATCCTGGATTTCCCCCATGAACATGCATGATCTCTCATATTGTTGAACACCACTAGCCAATTTCAATTTTCGCTCACTCTCTAGCTCAGATCTTAGAGTTCGGACCTCAGCATTGGTAAGGGACGAAGCCCCTACATCCGCAATTTCAGCCAATCTTTCTTTAACATGTTTTCTTGTAAACATTCATGAACTTCATGATCAAGATCCTGAACCCTAATTTGAGCAATTTTGGCTTGATTACGTAGATCTTCAACAAGCATCTCATCGGGGCCACGACCGTCGGTCGTAGAACCCTGAGTCAACGATCTCCGCAACTTCGTGTTCTGCAACTTGATCTCATCCTTTAACTCGCAATTCATCTCCTGCTCATTGGTGTAGAGCTCTTCATAATGCTCGGCCCTCGCGATCGAATTCAAGCTGGCCTGTGATTCAAGCCTCAGGTATGATATCGCTTCGGCCTCTTGGTTCCTGTATGATGCAATTCTTTTGACGATATCATGTTCGGTGTTTCGATGCTTCAGATCACTTTCTAATTTGGCCTAATTTACCTCGAAAACCTTCTTCCTAGATTCTCTAGTGATCTCGTCAATACTGCTTTCATACAGCTCGGCTTGTTTACGAGATTAAACCAAAGCTTCACTCAATAGTTGATTCCGTTCAGATAATTCATGAACCGCAATCGATTGTTGTTGGCTAATCACTTCAAGTTAATTGCTAGAGAAGGATGTCATTTCGGATCGATTACGATATTCCATGATTGAGTTCTGGAAATCATTTTGCATTTCTTGACCTTCATTGTAGAGTCGATTGGCAATATCGGTGGTTAAGACATTGGTTTGATGAAGTTGTTGAAGTCTTGCCTCCGTATTACCCAGTAGTCCTTGAAGGTGATGTACTTCATCCTTGTACTCCTCCTGGATCTCCATACCACGTTGATGGATCCGTCGTGCACCATGTTCCATTAGGGCACCTCGGCGTTCAAGGTCTTGGATGCGCATTGTTACACCTTCATCTTCTTGAGATGCTACCATTAGCTCTGCTTGATATTCTGCAATTTCATTCGCGGAACATAACAATCTACGATTGAGTGCACTGACTTCATCAAATACGTTCTGGTTGTGTTCCTGAAGATACTCAGTGAATCTAATCTCGATGTCATGAATCAGTCGATCTCTAGATGCAGCGTATGCTTCCATGTTGTTCAGCTGATTACGTAGGGATTGACATTGTGCCCGTAGTTCTTCTATCATGGCAATAGGTTCACTAGCCACAGAAGTATCCGTTAATCTCCTCTTAACACGACTATCCCCGGTCCTCTCACCAACTCGGTCGGTCACGGCCCTGGTGGATCTGTCCCTAGGAGTAGTTCGCCCTCGAGATTGTCGATGCCCTTGGCGGACAACATCACTCCGAGGACTGTTTCGAGAAGATCTTGGTGTACTTTGGGTGGATATCCTTCGTCTGTTTGTCGTTACTTGCCATCCGGACTGTGTAGTTCGGGTAGAGCGTATCCCACCACTGTCTGCCGTGTTACCAGGGGAAGACTGATTGACCTCCTCGACCGGCATGGCAGGGTTCTCGTTGAAGGTAAACTGCGTGGTGCGCGAGTCTCCGCTGCCTCCATGCATCTTTGCGATGATGAGCTGATTGGTCCTTTGCGTCCTCAATCAATTGCTCAGAAGGCCCGGCTACCAGCACGCAGGTACCACTCTCCCGGAGGGAGAAGTGAGCCCTACGGCTGATAACCTGTGAACAAATTGATCCTTGTTCTGGATGTTATAGTTCGATTGGTACCCGTTTCACTGGTAGTTCCCGGACCCGTTGATCATGGCGGACGGCAAACACTTCTTTTTGCTCACGCGTGGGGTCTTGAGCCATAGTGGCGTCCCACACATTGATTGTATGTATGTTCTGACTACGTTCCCTTTGACATAAAATATATCTATAATTTCAAAAATATATATTATTTATTTAATATAAATAAATCAATAAATATAAATAATCTAATGCATATTAATTATTATTTTATATATTTAAACTAATAATATAAATTATTTATTATTATAAAAAAATAATAATATCAAAAATAAATATTATAATTTTAAAAATAGAAATATTATATATAATTATATTTATTTGTATATATATATATGATTTTATAAAATTATTTAACATTATATATATATATATATTCAAATATAAAATGGAATCAACAATAAATTATATAAATAAAGACATTATAAATAAACATATTGAAATATTTAGATTAATTATGATCATATTAAATTATAATAATATATATATTTAAAATATTTTTTGTCGGAGGCTCCCCATTGGTTTCCTGCAAGTGCCATTGGGTAAATGGGAGCGATCTCATTCTGGATTTGGAAGTAGTTATATAGCCTTATGCAGTAATGATCCGCAATGCATATTTCCTATTTCCTATAAATGATTTCTTTCCCGTGCCCAAAATAGAATTTCCCCAAAACCTTCGTACCTGCAGTAACGTTCTCACCAGATAGATGGGGCTCAAATGCATGTCTGATTTCCTTGCGTCCTGTTTTGATGGGTTTTATGTATGTCATATCATGAAATGGGTAAAAGTTATGTGTCTCCAAAAAGAACTTGCTGGGCAACTCCGACCATCTTCACTAGGTTTACGCCCCGACTCAAGACGGGATCAAATTTCCTACCCTTCGGTACTCAAATATGGCGAGCCGCAAAATCACCCGATCAATGGAGGTGTCGTTCGCTGGGAAAATCATCGAACTAAGTGGGGAATTGTCCATTGCCATGATCCTCGTGATCTTTACATGTCCTGGCATGACCCCACAAAGGTCTATCAAATGTGCCTTGCTGTTCGCGATTTTTTTTCATGGCAGCAAATGTGGGTTTGGGGCAAACGGATGTTTCTTAAAATTGGGGACACCTGAAAACCACTGGTTTCCGAAATTTTCGTAATTCCAAGTGTTTGATGCTCTTGCAGTCCCACATGACTCGGTCCCACGATTCCAGGCGCCACCGGCGGAAGAAACCCAACAGTGAATGGGCATAAGAGACCAGTTTTCACCAAAATATGTTCCCCCCAACACGGAGTTATTAAAAAAACAAATGTATTCCTCTCATATCGCAGGTCCGTATCATTCACCCAAATGGGATGTATTAGGACATCACGCGGGATAATCTTAACCGATTCCCATTGAAGGTGCCTCCATTTCGCTGGCCTCGCTCTCCTCGTCGCGCTTGGCCTAGCCAAAAACATGGCGGGCATGGGCAATTGCGAGATTTGGCGAGTACAACCAACAAAAGTTCTGGGGATTTAATGGAGGAAAATGGCGATAGATGGTGAAGAGCAACACAATCATATTGAAACCAGCCATTTCACGGGGATACAATGGGTTATAATGAGAGACAATGGGATATAATGAGATAATGGGACGTGTACATTTTATATAGATATACTTGGATATAATTGGATATCATCCCTCCAACTGTCGTTGGACCCGCCATGAGTTGTGGGTTGGAAGCCGATTTTCCGAAATTGGGATGAGTAGTCTTCAGAGTCTCTATTATATGTATATTATATATATATATTTATTTATTTATTCATTTATTTATGTATTTATTTATTTACAGTATAATAAACAATAAGAGAAACAAAAATAACTAGTAATAGCAATAAACATATATATATATATATGATGATGATAATGCATATACATATATTTTTTCCGATCGTATCTGGTTATATTTATAGTCGTCTATAGTGTGTGTGTGTATATAGTTGATGCAAGGATATTATGTAATCTTATACCATATATACAATACATATACAATTAATTATGTGTATGTACATATATAACCATATAGTATCGTGTATATTGTATCCTGTTAACTCCCACCAGCTATGCGTTAGTAGCATCTAATCACAATATGTCCATATTAAACACTATATTGGTAGAAAATAATCACTATGTATGTATGTGTATATATATATATATATTGGCCTTATATACTAATATATATATATATATACATTTATCTATTTATTTATTTAAGTGTTTATTTCTTGATTTATTTAATTGTTTATTTATTTATTTATGTATTATCATTGTTATTATCATTATTGCCTACGTAACTGAAGCAAACATCTATATCTATACATATGTATATATATATACATATATACATATTGCTACATATCTCTTTTCCCATCTACACCGTTGCAACAAAAACCATCGTTGCCACGTGACGCTGCTCTTGGCCAACAGCTGGAACTGCCACGCCAGGCGCGGGTTGGGCGCCAGCGAGCCATCGCCGCTGCCGGCCTCATAGAGTTCCGCCAGGCCGGAGAGGATCTGGTGCTCCGCCAATAGGCCACCTTGGGGCCATGGCCACGTAAGGATCGGATATTGGAAAAATTGGTTAGTTTTTGATGTGATTTCAGAGGATTTTATATGGATTTATGGCTGCTATACGGACTTGAAGCATCAAAAATACTGATTTTCGGTGGGTGTTAATATCAAATACGGGTTTCAAGCATCAAACGTAATGATTTTTGACGGGTTTTAAGCATCAAACATGATGATTTTCGATGGGATTTATCAGGGATTGTTGTATGGGGTGGCAAATCGTAGGTACTTTAATCGTAGGTATGAAGTAAAATCTGAATCGAGAGATTCTGAGGAAAACTGAAGAAAAATGAGTTCAAATCAGTTATGAGTAAGGATTAAAAAGGAAACATTTTGAGGAAAATTGAGGAAAATGTTAATGGGATTTTATATGGATTCTATATTGATTTCACCATCAGCAATAGAGAAAGGAAGTTTCTAGCAACCAACGAACTAATGTGGAATTCAAAACTGCATTTTGTACATTACGATCAGTATATTGTGGGGATTCAGCGAGGAAAATGGTGATCAATGCTTGCAGATGACAGCAATATACTAATAGTAATATAGAAAAGGCTAACATACTGTTAATGATTGATGAATATCAATGTACTAATGAGGATTTAACCATCAACCACAAGGAAACCCCTGCACTAAGCAATCATCCAACTAATGGGGAATCTTTTGGGGAATGCCTGACTAATAGGGGATTTAATTTGATGTTATTATATGTGGATTTGACTCTGATATATGCGGAGTATCAGATAGACATATAGAAATAGTCTACTACCCCATGAAAGCCATGGTCCATTTATAGATGATATACCGAACTTAAGAATGATGAATCTTCCATAGCTATGTTAAACTACCAAAGGGTATGTGATATAGTATCAAATCATTGATTTATGGATATTAAATTATATATATATATAATATAAAGGAGAAGGGAATGTTAATTGGATGCTAATGGGATATTCATGAGAAATTAATGGAATATCAGTGGGATTTAACCAACCATAATGGAAATATGGTTGGAGTACAATGGGATCTAGATAACCAACTTGAGATCATATGTGGTTTATGGTCATCCATCACATTTCATGGAAATCATGGAAATCCAAACAGAATGGGCATATAATTCCCTATGAAAATAGATTGATGACCATCTACCAATATGGGTATACAATCCAACTTTGACCATGGCACAAATGGATATGTGGAGGATAATCTGGATATATCAGACATGAGTGTATAGGCCAGTATCAAATAGTTGTGATTTTTAGATATTAGATAAAGAACATAGTTGATATGTATGTTATGGAGCATATGTTTTATACCTATACTATGCTATGTACAGATATGTGAAATTTATAAGATAGTATAGATATAAAGTATAGGCATAGGAATAGTGTGAATGTGTATATATATATATATATGCCTTTAGATAATCCCTGCCAGGTGGGTTTATAAGTCCCACATAACTAAAGTTTGATATACCTACCAATGTGAATTCTAGGCAAATACACCAACTTAGCTATCGTTTGGGGGTCCCACGTTGTTGGAAACCCAGAAAGAATGGTTGTAATTGGTTACAGCCCAAGAAATTGAGGATTTAACCATCAATAGATGGGATACTTACGGTGTAACCTCATATATAAATTAAGCATCAACGATGTGGATCCAGTAGCCCAAACAGCCCCCGGGCAGCAGCTGAAATCACCAATGGTGGATAGGATTTAATATTCCCATGTAATCCCCAAAGAAGATCAAAATCCACAGGTCAAAGTTACCATTATTTTACTATTTATACTATTTTACTATTCTATCTTCTAGGGTTGCTATACCATCTCTTTTCCGATCTTCCATATGCATGACATCATAGGCGAATCACAGTTTGAATGGAGTCTTCATCTTGCAGTGACATCAGCCTTTGAGGTGGTTCAAGTTAATTTAGAGGAATGATGAGTGCAACCTGCAGCTCTGAATATAAGAGTTTAGTGTATCTACTGTACACTATAATCAATAATTACAATTATCATGGTGTGTTGTGCATATGTCCACAGATGTTATGTTGTTGGTGTTTTTAGCAATCAAGAAAATCTAATCAATGATGGAGATACCTGGTAGAGGCTGGACGTGACCCGGAGATTTTCCGGAAGTGGATCCAGGCTCCGATGATCCAGGCATCACACCCACGATCCAGAAAAATATGAACAAATCATCAAATATCCTCTTAATCATTGGTATTTCCCTCTAAAAAAACAAGAAAAAACTGTTTTTTTTGGTTCCCCCATGAAAAATGATGATAACGCGGAATTTCCCTGTGAATCGCTTTGCCTTGGTTTTAAACACGAATCTTTGATGATAATTTGGGGTCCCAAGTTTTATTCGGACAGCGCCCAATCTCTGCCCCCAGTTTCGATCACCAAGACACCTGGCAGTCGCTCCGCTTCCCGCTCCTCTTCCCGTTCGGACAACTCGTCCTCCGCGTTCCGCACGGCGCGTGCCGATAAGCACTGACCTCGGTCAGCCGGAAGGTTAGGGGGATGGATGTGGGGACTTGCAAAATAAATAAGATTCTCATTCACGACAAAGCTGCACAATAGCAAAGATCATGCGGTTTCAAAAAATGAGACCCCGGGCCCGGGATGTACTCAACATATCGTGAAGATTCAACTTCCAAATCATAGAGAAACAAACCATCATTTCAATATATTCACGTCGCTTCGCGACGGCAACCGCCCGCACCGCATCGTTGGGCACAAACCTGATTTCATAGAAACCCAAACAACAAAACGGACATAGAGTATCGAGGCGATACTGTTCTTTTTTTTGCCTGGTGTGGATCCTGGGACGGCAGGTTTGCGAACTTTCCGTCCGTGAGCGGCCAAGGCAAAAAAAAGAACTGAACCTGAGGTTGTGTGGTGCTGCCTTGCACCAAGCAATAAATTTGAAAGCTTTATAAGTATCATATCTGCAAGATGTAGGCTTTTGTTGTCTGGACGCTCCACACTGGCAAAGATGTCGGCCAACCAAAATAGATAGAGAAAGATAGACCGATAGATAGATAGAGAGATATATCTATATATATATATAAAGATCATATATGTACATATCGAGTGAACGGTCCACACTGTTAATGATGTCAGCCATTGTTCTCTTCTACTGCCATTGTTCTCTTCTATTGCCGTCGCTCCGCGACAAGAACCCCTGTGCGGCCGCCACGGTTTGAACGATGTTGTTCTCACACCTTCGCGACCGCTCGTAACTGCCAATGATGTCGGCCATTGAGACCAAAAACATCCGAAAGTACTGATTGTCGGAAAAAAAAAAAAACGAAGAATTTGATAGCCATGTATAGCGGACCAGCGCAGGTCAAAAAATAACGAAAAACATGAAAAAACGGCGAAATTGCTGTTATTTACAGTGTTTTTGCGTGGTGAGAAGCAGAAACCACTGCAAATACCATGGTGTTTGAGGGTCAGGTGGCCAAAAACACTGTAATTTACAGTGTTTTTTTAACCAACGTCAAAAAACACTGGTATTTACGATGTTTTCATTCACACCGTAACATAAAACAGCGTAATTTACGAGGTTTTTGGAAGTTTTGAAGCTAGCCGTCAAGCATGCAGAAAACAGAAAAACACTGTAAAAACCAGTGTTTCTGCTATCACAAAACGACGAAAATCAGTCCGAAAACGGGTCCAAAAACTCAAAAATCGGAACCGCAAAAAAAAGATGTTGCAAACCAAAAAATTGAGGTCAAAAAGTTGAAAAACACGGGGTTTTTTCACTTTTCGCTTGCCGATTTTGGTTCACGAACAGGTGTCTTCCGTACTGTTTTTACAGTGTTTTTTGAAGGCGAGCGTCACGACCTATCAAAAACAGGAGGTTTTGGCCGAAAAATGGCCCCCCCCCAGGTAAACCTGTAACCTTTTACGAGTGCCATCCGGACGATCACGCCCCAGCACCTTCGGTGCGGGCGGATTTCATGTTTTTCTTGGTATTGAGTACTTTTCGGTCATTGAAGCTGGCAATGAGAATTCTACCATATCAATCGGAAATCGTCTCAAAGGGAACTCAACTCAAACTCGTAAAATACTTCTAATCGCCGTTGTGAACCACGACTGTTCCACTCGTGGTGACATTTGTTCGATGAACAAGCCTCAAAAAATCCACTCAATCTGCCTACAAGTTTGGTATGAAAACCCCTTTCCCAGAAATGCCCACCAAATGAGCCGGGGGAACGAGCAGCATCGGGCGTGCATCGATCCATGGGACCACATAAGGCAGCGGACTAAGGGCCATTCCACAATGTCGATTTAAATGAGCATTAACATATTTGGGTATAAGGGCCATAACATATTTGTTGCTAAATTTGGGTATTCCTTAACCGTGGTTTCCGAGTTCTTCTTGCGGGAAGGGATTCGACGTTGGCAATTTAGACTGGAAAAAGAAGATCCTCATGCCTAGATTGCGTTCCCATCTTGCAGAAAAAATACGTGAAAATGTGCATGTCCCGGCCAACCATCTGCAGATGTTTTGATGTTTTTTCCAGCTCGAAACCTCCATTTTTTTTCGGGGCTAGCCACGTTGATTAATTACCTGTAAATCCATCCATATCATGATTATCCCATCATTCTCTCAATAAATGTCCCTATGAAACTCCATAAAACCTCCATTGATAGGGGATTTCCCATGGGATTTCCCATATTTAAACCCCATGAAAGCACCATGTTTTTCATCGAAAGGGATGGATTCTCCCTGCAAACCACCCGGCCAAGCGTCGATACCAATGTACGGCGCTGGTGGCGTCGACCCGACAACCCATGCCACGTTGGTAGCAGAACGCGACGCTGGACATGGCCCGACAGACGCCCTGTTCGGCAGCCTGGAGGATATACCTAGGGGAGCTGCTCTGCAAATGGATGGTTCCATTTATAACCAAGAAAAAAGATTGGAGTTACCATCTGAAAAATATGGAAAGGGTCATGGTTCTGCCTTTTCAATGGATTTGGTTTTGCTGGGAAAATCGAGACCTGAAACCGCGGTGTTGTTACTACTCAATATGGGTGTTTCATGGTGTTCGCGCACATGTTCCCTAAACACCAATCCATTGAGATTACGTTGCAGACCTTTGCCATAGTTTTGGCCAATTTCCAGGTCTTAAGTGGGGGTATGATCCCAAGCAATGGTGGATTTATGGTGTCTGTATCTGGGTAAAAAGATCTCCAGTTGTGTTGGTTGAGCATCTGAGACTTATAGACTTGCTATTATGTTTTTGTAGCTCGTGACGCAAGCAAGATCCAAGAAATTGGGGACTCCCGAATTCAACAGCAAATGTTGGTTTCCTCTCCTGAAATACAATTAAGGATCTACATGTTCGGTGTATTCCAATGTCGCCATGCAGAAACTGTGAAGATTTCAATTCATTTTCACAGATCGATTCAGGTGAAGTGCCTTCTCATCAAAGCACCACTTTCAGGGGCCCCAACCCCAACCACATTTGAAAATCTCCCATTTTTTGCTGGCTTTCCCAGCTAGCTAGCCTCCATGGCTAGTTCGGTCCTGGAGGGTAAATCTATTCATATCTTATCCCATCGTTCTCCCAATATTGTCCCTATGAAACCACATAAAACCTCCATTTATCTCCATTTATAGTGGATTTTTCATGGGATTTCCCATTGGATTTCCCATTCAAACCCCATAAAAGCACCATGTTTCATAAGAAAATTCCATTTTTCATAGGAAAATCCCATGTTTCATAGGAAAATCCCATGTTTCATAGGAAAATCCCATTTTTCATAGGAAATCCCATGTTTCCTGCGGAAAGCCATTGGTATTTCGGCATCCCATGGCCCAAACCCCCAAGGCACGGGAAAGCCGCGGCCTCATCGAGGCTCAAAGGCCTCTGCAGTGAGCTGCCGAGAGCTCGCAAGACGCCTTTGCGCGGCCGCAGGTTCCTTGGGGCCCAAAGGTGACGGGGGCCCGGGGGATCCATGACTTCATATGATTTCTTTGAAACCCCCAGATGGACGAGGAAGTTCTAAGATTTTTGGGGGGGATTTCTGGGTTATGGATGGTTGGAATTGAGATGATGAGGTTGGAATGGGGTTGGAATGGCGCCAATAGAAAGCGCCGCAGTGCAAACTCAACCAAGCATCAAATGCAAGCACGCCAACGCCAAGGCTCCTAAGGAAGGGGTAAACAGAGGGCTGGCCGAAGCATTTGTGGATGGGGTCGAAAATGTGACTGTGAGCTGCACACTTCACACTGAAATCATCCAACATTTCAAGCGATTCCTTTGGACCAATTGACCAATGAATGCTGTGGATAAAGGCTATAAATCTGGACTTCAAGCTCAGTGGGTCAGTCGAACTGTTCACCAATCCCTTCCACCAGTGCAACCGGTGCAGTCCCAGCAGTCCCAGCAGTCCTTGTACATTGCCCAAGTCTGCTGACACTTGGAGGTGAAACAAACCTCCAAAATGTGTCGTTGAAACCACATAAAACCTCCATTGATAGGGGATTTCCCATGGGATTTCCCATTCAAACCCCATAAAAGTACCATGTTTCATAGGAAAATCCCATGTTTCCATTGTAGGAAACACCGATTTCAAGACCTACTGCAACACCGAAGTCTCAGGAACGCCATCCCCTGCCACCACACGGCCACTCGTAGATTCCTAGCTGCTTAGTTGAATGTTACCGTAGTATCTCTCCCCATCCCATTATATTATATTATATTCGCATCATCTTCCACTAATTCTTGGAGTCATACCCCTATGTTTGATGGTTAAGCTCCAAAATAACACTCGTTAAACCATCTTAAACCCTCCATTTCTGTTGGTGAAATCAACATCTTTCGGAAAAAAATCACCATGTTCATGGCTTGAATCAGCTTAAATCATCTTCAATCTCCCTATCTTCCAATTATGGGTCTGAAAATCATGAAGATCCCTAAAAATCCCATTGGTTTACCATATGTTTTTTCGCTACCCTCTGGTAAACTAACATAGCTATGGAAAATCACCATTTTTAATGGGAAAATCCACTATAAATGACCATTTTCAATAGCCATGTTAAATTACCAGAGGGTATATATATTGAATTGGCCATGGTGGGACACCCCCCATCTCCCGCACCTTGCGCCGGGGAGGTCAAGACGTTGTGCCCGATGAACTCCGCGTTGGCTTGCACGTGGCGGGCATGCAGCATGGCCAGGGCAAAGTGGACCTGGTGGCGAGGGATTTCATGGGAGTTCACCATGGAAACATCGGGATTTCAACATGATTTAACCGGGTGGAAAGAAGCCATCCCCAAGAATTGAAATGGATTTATATAATTGGAGTTAGCCAAGAAAAAAATACGCTTTAACATGCTTTAACCATGAAAAATAGGGAATGTTTCACAGTGTTTTTGCTTTTCATTGGATTGGTTTTGCAGGATGTGGAAGGGAAAATGAAACCAGAAACCATGGACATCCATGGGATTTTTTTTCATTTTTTGGGTGGGTTGCACCATAAAAAATGTTTCCATTCATCCAATAGGAAAAGAAGCCCTGGCAGATTCCTTCAGGCCACCTTGCCACCGCCATCCCGAACATGGGATGTTTACCCATGATTTTGGATGGGTTTCAAACATCTGTTTGGTGCAGGATTTCGCAACCACCCACCGAATTAGTAGCTTTTTTTAAAGGTGTTCAGCGATCATACACACCTATGTTCCAACAAATTGCTATGGGTACTTTTGGGGGGCCAATCCTTTTGAAGCCATAGCCACAGCTGGATATCCTCAATGAGTTGTTGAGTAGCCCGAAACATCTTATTTCATGCGAATAAATTGATGATTCCTTCGGATCTTTACCATCTCTGCTCCCATTCGGCTGCACCTTTGAATACATCTGGGCTTGACTGTTGGAACCTCACAGTTTCCGCGGCGCAGGCTTGGGATGGTGACCGAGCTGAAGGTTGGGTGAAAAGCCGAAAAGCTGGCGGGAAAATGCAAATGTTGATGGGAAAGGCATCTTTCCGAATGGATCTGTATAGATCAAAGGGACATTTTCCAGCACGCCAGGTGAAATGACCAGATGGTAGCTGTGATTGCTAAGAACCTTATTACAGTTGAGATGGAGCACATTCGCACGCACAATGATGGTAAATTAGTGATAAAGGATGTCTGCTACACCAGCAGGATTGGGTGTTTCCCCGCTCCAACACCCAAAAAACACAAAGAACCGTGTTCCAGCTCTTCTTGACGAGTCCAGCTTAGTTTTCAGCAGGGGATACAGTCGACCTTGCTTGACTAGGCATATCAGTCGCTGCTGGGAAATTCGTGTGCCAAAGAGCTCACATTTTGGGAGCAAAACATGTTGGCCCGTAGACATACTTCCCCTGACATTTTGGTTTATGTTCCAAACATATCTCGATATTCGTGATGTTACTGGTCTCGTCTCAATTTATCATGAGTTTGATCATCCATGTGTTTTTGAATGAAAAATATCGCTCCCCCAAGAGTTCATAGGTCCCATCGAACTGGCCATTGCCCCCTAAAAACAGGCAACTGCTGGGCCGTGAAGGCACCAACTGTGCAGCAGGAGTGAGAAATAACTCCTCGCCATCGTCTCGTGGGCTAGCTGTTTCATCGCGCTGCCTGTCATTGAGGTTGGAAATGCAGAAAATACCAGGGAATTACCCTCTGGTTATTTAACATAGCCATGGAAAATGGCCCATTTATAGTGGATTTACCTACTATTCATGGTGGTGGTTTTCCATGGCTATGTTAAATAACCAGAGGGTTACCCCAAAATTGCGAAACACGGGGATACCAGGTCCCCCTGACGGTCCAATCCCATCAACAGCGATAAAGACGGCAAGATTGGAGGGTCAAAACCGATGGATCACCGTGGTTACTAAAGAAGCACGGAAGGACTTTTCAAGCCACTTGTCAGCGGCAACCATGATAGATGATGTAGTAATATGCGTCCTTTTTTGCTGACTTGAAAAATTCAGCAGATTCCAAGACTGTTTAATTCGTTCTATTGCTTGGTTGATATTGGCCATAATCCCCCCAGTAGCAGCCCAGCAGCACCCCACGGAGCATCATCTCTGTATCATATCTTTTGCTTTTGTTGCTTAGACTCCCATGTTTCTTGAAATCACCATCTTTGTTGGTGGTCCCATGCTTGTTCCGGGCAATCCCGATGGATGACTGGAGGGGATGTCCTGCCTTGCCACGTTTGGCCGGGGAGTAGTCATAGCAACCCCCTTTTTTAAATGAAAGACATTTGCTACTTCGATGATGTTTTTTTTCGAGATTTTCCAGGTGTCTTTTCGGTCTTTTCGGCACTTTTTTGTTTGGCCTTGCAAAAAAAAAGTTTCTATAAGTTATACCCATCCGGATCCCTCCGGTTTCCTCAAACATCTGACATTGGGCATCCCGCTGAGGCTCCCCCTGAGGCCTGTATTCGGTTGCAGCGCCATCACCAGGCATGGGCGAATGAGCGAACGGCGTCAGACCCAACTGGTGGCAGAGACTGTTGCAACCTCGGTGACTTCTCCTAGGTATCAATAGTAACTCCACCCAAGAAAAAAACATAGCAGGGGTAAGTTACCGCTATTGGATCTTTTGACTGTTCTGTCTTTTTCGAAGCTAACCACCTACAGGTCAGACTCGGTGATTGCTGGTAATGGTCGCCAAATAGGAAAGGGCTAAAGCCAAAAATGGTTGGATTGAAGCAGATTTCTTGGGAGTGTTACCAACAAACAAAAAGCATTGTGACAGCTCTGAAAACCAAGAGTTGGAACCACGAAGCGCTGACTCTGGTTTGAAGAGTTTAAAGAGTTGAAACCCATGAAATGGGGACTGCAAAACCCATAAAACTCTATAGCAACATGAGGATACGGACCATCATCTTACTGGTGCTAAACCTAGGGAATGGAGGAATGGGACGATTTTTTTAATATTTATTATGGATCATTCCCGAAAATTCCCTACGTAAAACGCACCAGTAAGTCATGAGTTACAGTCAAATCAACTGCTTCACCGCGTGCGTCATGAATCCCATTGGGTCGCCTATCATCGACCATCCCAGCCAAGGGGGTCGTTCCCGAACATGGACCGTCAACATGGCTCGTTGATCTCCTACCCAAAAAAACAGATCTCTGCTGAAAAAACATCACAGCCAAGGGATATCACCTGGTGATGTTGGTCTCTTTTTTCGTTCCCTTTCTGGTCCCAGCTTGCCATGTCCAGCAGCGATGACTGGCAAAGAAGAGCGCCATGCCTCGGAGGCCCATGTTGCCCCGACCGAAGCGCGTGGTGCCGCTGGAGGCTGTGTGGATCTGTGGGTCTGTGTACAAGTCATCCACACCTGGGCATGTGAAAACAACCATGGTTTCTCGGGAAAACCCATGAAGAGCCAAAAAAAAACATCAAGGCACCATCAAAAAAAGTGTTTTTGGAGATGTTTGTTGCCACATCTTGAACTAAAGCGTGGAAGTCTGAAGCATTTGCTGCCCCCCTTGCTTGTTTCAATTTTTCCCACCTTGGATGTCCACCACAATTTGCTCAGCTCCCGAAGCTTCAAAGGTAAAATGGGAGAAGGCATGCGGCGTATTCCTGTTGATCAGTCGTGGTGATCCCCTCAGGTCAACACTTTGCGAAGTGGAAGCCATGGCCGGCTATGGTCCGGTTGGTTAAATGACTAACTTACCTATTCAAAAATGGTAATTGTCCATATGTTAGTTTACTGGTGGGCAATTCTTCAACACATGGGAATCGAGTTTTCTCCTGATCTCGTCCGTGAATGTTGAGCCTATTTACGAAGAGACCCTGTCATAACCACGAGCCTGCCACTGTTTCTGAACACAATCATTCATGTATACATGATTGTATATGGAATATACCTGGATATATGATGTTGTATGTGGCTTGTATGAATTATACATGTATATGTATATATATATGTGGTTTCTAAACCAAATACTGATATGCACATCATTTAGCGTTTCGAATCCCGCCCCGTTTTGCGAAAAGCCGCAGGCTCCTCACCACATCGTCGGCCACGAAGCCCGAGTTGGAGGAGTGCTTCGTAAAGCTACCATCCAGGTAGGCCTCCACCTTCGCAACAAATCCGATGCCCCGGTGATACCCTGGTGATATGTTCAACTCATAAACACCCAAAAAAAAAATGGCGAAGGTGGGAAATTCCGTCGTAGAAGTGGCTATGTGATCACTTACTCTATCACTTACTCTATATGTCTGTATGAGTATGTGATGTATGTGTGTATATAGATATTGTAAAACATTGATAAGCGGTGTATAATTATGAATCCAGTGGGGAAAAAAGAAAGTGGATGCCAGGGGCACTCAGCTTAATGGACTTCCAGCAGGCACCAAGCCACGGCAAAGTCGCGGGGAAGGTTTCCGTCACGCTCAGGCAGTTGCAAGATGGAGGCTTCGATGAAATCCTGGCTTCACCAGAAAGCATGCTGTTTACTACGGAAATCCTGTAGATTTTCCCCTAAAAAAAATCTGGATGCTTGGTCTTGTCACAAGAACATCGTAAACAGTGTCAGGCGACCACTTCTGTTTCTAGTTGATTCGCGGCTTGCGTTTTCCAAAAAAAATCTCATGGCTCAGCAAACCACCTTTTTCGGGTGCCCCACAATGATAGATGGAGACCCTTACAATGTGGTCTTGGTGGAAAAAACACTATGGCCATACGGCGAAATTTTTTGCACTTCACCAACCTGAAACAAACCATCACGATGAGATGAGCATCGATATACCCTCTGGTTATTTAACATTGCCATGGAAAATCACCATTTTTAATAGGTAAACCATCTATTTCTATGGGCCATCTATACCATGGCGAACTGTTAAATAACCAGAGGGTAAATCATCATGTGATCACAGTTGTTTGGGGTCAATCGAACTTGACCCAAAAAGTGATGGGTCATTAAATTTGACCACAATTGTCGACTGACAGGGATCGAAAGGGCACTCTTCTTTGGAGGTACTTCGGACCCAGATTCAAATATATGGGTCCCAAAAAAAAAATGAAGGGGAATCACTAGCTACAATGGCAACACCGCCAAACAGTACCATTTGGATCCATTTGGGATTGCAAACCTTTTGAAAAAAACGGGAGGCGGGGGGGCCTGCTGTTCATTGACATGTGGATATGGCAGATATGGAAAATCAGCCAATTAGAAATCGCTCAACGTGGGCATTCATTATCGCTGTTTTCCATGTATCTATGTATGCTTGCCGAAAGGCAACTGGGTGTTAAGTTTATATATGTTTACAGTTGCACTCTAACCATGGTGAATATATACCATGGCAAAACTTACACCAATAATAAGCCATCCCGCTACTAAATTCCATGGTCTTAATGTCTTATAAATCCCGATTTGGCTGGTAAACCCACCATTTGTGATATCAAATCCAATACGTTATATCTGGATGACACACTATAATTCAACAACCTGATGCCCGGAGATAGTGACCCACTAACTATCATTCCATTGACCTGGCAGTGAGGTTGAGGTCGCAACATGATTTATCCAGATATCTCAAATGGTATCTTCCGATATCCCATGTTTCCACCATTCTTCGTTAAATCCCAATTTTTGTTGGCGAAATTCATTTTTCAAATCGGATAAATCATGATAAATCCCAACTGTTCATCCTTAAATCGCAGGAATTTCGGTCGCAACAGAGTTTATCCACATTATGTGTGTAACCATAAATAAATATGTATATATATATACACATACATATATACATTTATACATATATATATATACATACATATATATATATATATATTATATATATATATCATATTGAGGTATGTACGTACAACCACTTCCAGCTGCCAAGTCTCGACCTTCTTGGGTGGCGCACACGCATTGAACCTCTCCGCATAGCTTTTGGCGATCATCTGCCTGGAGGAATTCCGAATCGGAGAATTCGAGCACCGGAGTCGTTCGTTGGATGTTGGAAATCCGAAGTAGATAACAGTCAATATGGCGATCAAATAGGAAATCTGACTGTTATCTAATATGTAAATCAATATTATAGAACTACAAGATCCTGGAAAAATAGATGGTTTATCACTTTGGGTTTCCCTATTGCTAATAAATCTGACTGTTTCTTATCATACAAGTTCCGATTGAAGCCAGGTATTTTTGCTGATTTTCCAACGATGGAAAGCCTTGAGACACAGTCTTGAGCCTGTCTCAATACCCACCCAAAAATCCATCAGTGATTTTTGGTGTCCAACCATCCGCGACCCGAAGAATGAAGCGGCACCGAAAAAAGTTCACCATCTTCAACTTGGGATGGAAAAACGGTGTTGCCAGATGTCCTCCCCCTAAAAACAGCCATGAGGCTGAGCGGCTGACCAAACCCCAATTGGAAAAGAGGTCAAGTTGGTCGGTGGTTTGGCCCAAAATATCCCAAATTCATGTCACAAACTCATGAATTTGTTGGAAAAATGTGGAAAAAAATATTCCGCCCACGTCCCAGTGAACAAGATTCTGAACATCTATGTAGGTTCATTTCAGTTTTCATTTCCCCAGATTTCCCCAGTGCTTTCAGCATCTTGTTTTTCCCAACCTTTCCACAGTGCTGTCAGTTTGCATCATCACATCACTCTCCAGGGCAGAGACGTCAGGATCGCTGCTGTAGCCTCAAGGTTCTTGAAACATCACACCTTTCGGTCCAGAGGTCCAGCACACCATTATTTTTTCACCAATGTCTCAGGTAAACCTTGGTCCATGACCCGAAATGGGCACAGATTGTGAAGATGATCTTAGATTGATATAGTCATAGTTCATATAATCTATCAATGTGTCTATGTATATATATATATATATCCATAGTCTCCCAAAAAACAAGAAGGGCGCCGTGGATTTCCGGTCTTTCCCAAAAATGGGCGACTTCCAAAACCAGACCCAAACAGAAGATGAAAGAACCAGTGACTATAGACAATCTATAGACCATACACGACTAGTCATCTATAGACAAAAAGAATATCCATGACTAGACTACTAGATGACTATAGATTTTGGAGTATAGACTATAGATATCCATGTACTATAAATATCCATAGATATCCATAGATATCCATAGATGACAATGGAGAGTTTATGACAGGCCCAGCCAGATCCAAGATATCCAAGGAGCGTTTGGCAACCCAGTTCCGGCGCAGCAAGGAGGCCCTGTTTGGAAATGATCCACAAAATGGTGGGATTTTCCCATTTTTATGTTGGTTTATTGGAGAATACCCCCATCCAAAATGACCATTTCAAGTGGGAAAATTGGGTTAATTAATGTCCAAATATAAACCAGTGAAATGCCAGCATGTCCAAATCTTCTTCAAATCATTTTTCACTGGATAAGTCCCATAGATGTCCCATAGTTTGCTAGGTCAGAGCTGGTAAAACTCCAGGTACATCCCAAAGTTTCACCTCGTGTGGCCCACCTGTGACAGATCCGCATGGCCCCCTTGGCGAAAGGTTCCGCCTCTACGCGAACCTGAGGCTCAAAAGTCGGTGAGTTCAAACCCGCTGGGAAGTTTATGGAGTTATGAACAGTAATTTTTATTCAATGGGAATTTCAGGACCCCAAAATAGAGCTACTGTACCATATTTTGGGTATACGTTGTGCGGATTTTCCCTGAAATCTAGCCCTTACATCGGCCTTTTTATGTATGGTATCAAGCATAATAACAATAATAAGAATAATAAATAGTGGTCATCATAATCACAAACACAACAATAAAAATCATAATAATAATAATAATAATAATAATAATGATACTAATAGTAATAATAATAATAATAACAATCATCATCATCATCATCATCATCATCATCCGCATCATCCGCATCATCCGCATCCAAAAAAAAACATTATGATAATCGCATTATAGTCACTCCAGATAATATCCATTAAATTAAATTACTGAGACGGCGCTGAAACCACGACTAAACAGGCGCTCTTTTTCCCCGACTAAACACCATAAATCCACGACTAAAAAAAACTATTATGTCGACTAACTGTCTTAAAATTTTAGTCGCCGTTTGCTCTAACATTTTAGTCGCTGCTTGCCCAAACATTTTTGTTGGGGATTTTTATTGCTAGTTGCTGTAAGATATGGCCAGTTGTGGTTTGAGTACCGCCTTGTTACTAAAATATATCTAGATGATAACGTCCCATTGTTGATGATTAATCATTTCATTAATCCCAAAGAATCCCAGATTGTAAAATAACCCCAGCATGATAATCCTGAGTAATCTATATGGCTAGTTATATTAATATATTTATATATTATAGTATGAACTACTATTCTGGTTGGTGGTTGAGCCACCCCTCTGAAAAATATGAAAGTCAGTTGGGATCATTATTCCCAATATATAGAAAATAAAAAATGTTCCAAACCACCAACCAGTATTACTATCATGATTAGTTTTGTGATGATTGATTATGCTCTCATTAATATTATCATTGGTATCATCTCATACTCATCCACAATATCTAGATGGTTGATGATATCCCATTGTAGAATGATCATACACGACCATGGAGTATATTGGTGATTCTCATGCCATAATATCTGGATATATTTGGGGGTTTCTGAAAATGGAGGATCCCCAAGTCACCATGGGTTTCAATACTAAAAATCCTTCAATGTTCAATGATTTGGGGTACCCCCAAATCATAGTTACGATGATCATTGGGATAGTCTCATGATATTCCCATATACTAGTGATTATGATAGTGGTCATATGGATTATAATGGATATTATTACCAGTATCACTACAATCATCCCGCTACTATGTGGCTTTTTCACAATGTCACAAACCCATTTTCCTGGGAATGGTTTCTACATCCCACCGAAAATAGAATCTGTTTTGACTGGGGAATAACATGCAGATGGCATTGTTTTACCATGTTTTACCGACATTTTTCCCATCTGTTCACCCCACCAACCCCAACCCCAGGGGCCCCCAGGGAACCAGCACTTCCTGACAGCTCCAGCTGCGGCGTTTCACGTCCCAGCGCCGTCGCAGTGCGCGTTCCAAGGGCACAGGGGGCACCGAGGACCAGCGCTCAGCCCAGGGGTCGGGGAGACACAGCACCTGACGATTTTTGGGCGGATTCTGCCTGGGAAAATGGGAGAAGTGGATGAAACCCTGAGAAAAGTTGGCATTTTGCCCTGGGAAAATGATGAAAGTTGTGGGATTTTGAAGAAATTTATAAAAGTTTCAAGGAAAATGAAGCTTTAAGCTGCCAAAACTGATGGATTTATATAGCTAACCAAAATGCTGGGGAAAAAATAGCCAAAAATAAAGATGGGATGATAAGCATTGATAAGCAAGATCATGAAACTGTCTGTCAGCAGAAGAGGTTGTCAAATCCACGGTCAACTTTGTGTAGATAACGATCAACCAAATTTCATCAACCAAAACGAGGCTTGAAGACTTTTCAGCATGAAGTTTTTTCACTTATGTTCCCAGAGTCGACAATCCGCGGCAAAGAAATCGCAACATCCAAGCAGCACGGTTCGCTCAGGTGTCACCCTCACTGCTACTGCTATCTGCTGGAATATACAGATGCATATATATAAAGACATGGGTATAGATATATAGATTAAATCTTGAAAACTGGGATGTCACCAACAATTTAAATGTAACTTCTGCCAAGATAGACCGTTGTAGTGAAAGAACCATGGATCAAACGAAGCGCCGCCACCCCGGGCAGGTGGCTTTCCCGGGTTTCCCACCCATTTTTTTGTCCAAAAACAGGGAATACCATGAGTTTCAAAACCAGGGGATTTTCTTGTACCAAAGTTTGAAACCTCATGAGATTTTGGGGGTCTCGCCGTCTCACCCATACTTTGTTGCTTGAATCCACACATGTTAGTCTAGTCTAATCCTCACAATTTGTTGGATAAAATCCCCAAATTGTGTCTCCAAAAATTTGTTAGATACAAAACTATGTATCTATCTATCTATCTATCTATCTATCTATCTATCTATCTATCTATCTATCTATCTATCTATCTATCTATCTATCTATCTATCTATCTATCTATACTATCTATCTAGTATCTATCTATCTATCTATCTATCTATCTATCTATCTATCTATCTATCTATCTATCTATCTAATCTATCTATCTATCTATCTATCTATCTATCTATATTGTTTACCAAGAATTCTAGGGGAAAAAAACTGAAAGTTCCCATAGTCCCACAACGGCCCGGCCTTGTGCACAGCATCCCTCCAGCATTCCTTGGGCGACTTGCGCCGTGGCACCGGCCGCAAAAGCACTGTGCGCGAACCTCAAGAGGCAGAAAAACTCACCCACTTCGTTTGATATATATATTATATATATATATATACATATATATATATATATACAGTACACACATACACATATACAGATATGTATGTATATATATATGTGTGTGTGTGTTTGTATGTATAGATATGTATAGATATGTATAGATATGTATAGATATGTATAGATATGTATAGATATGTATAGATATGTATAGATATGTATAGATATGTATAGATATGTATAGATATGTATAGATATGTATAGATATGTATAGATATGTATAGATATGTATAGATATGTATAGATATGTATAGATATAGATATAGATATAGATATAGATATAGATATAGATATAGATATAGATATAGATATAGATATAGATATAGTATAGATGTAGATATAGATGTAGAGGTAGATGTAGATATAGAGATATAGATATAGATATATAATATACATATACATAGCCCGCTGGTAATTTAACACAACTATGGAAAATGGCTCGCTTATAGATGATTTCCCTCTTCAGAATGATGATCTCTTCCATAGCTATGTTAAATTACCAGAGGGTATGTGATATAGTATCAAATCACTTGATTTATAGATATTGAATATATAATATAAAGGATAAGGGAATGTTAATTGGATACTGGGATACTATATTTAATGGGATATTCATGAGATATTCATGGAATATCAACGGGATTGAATCAACCATTTGGGCAATATCATTGAAATATCATGGGATATAGATAACCAACTTAATAGGGTGTTGTGGTTTATGGTCATCCCATTTCGTGGGAATCCAAACATCAATGGATTGATGACCATCCTCCTATATGGGTGTATAATTAGTATAATCCATCTATTGACCATGGCAGATATACCTGCCATTTAAACGATGTGGATCTTCTTTCAGATTCTGCTTTTCACACAACGGATAAGTTCTTGGGATATAATCGCTATAGAATTGAGCGTAAGCAACAACCATGGGGATTCTTGATAAGTTCTCATGATTCACCAACCCCACTGGCGCGTGGCCTTTTTGGGAGAGCCAGCTGCTTCCAACGAAGCATCAGCAACCGGCTCTCCGTGGTCTCCAATGTCGTTGAATTCTGTGTGATGTCACACTGATTTGTTACCCCAATTCAACGCCAAGTATATGTGAAACGCCGCAAAATGGCTGGAACCACAACAGATTACCAGGGACTTCGTCGAGCGGTGTTTGGTGGTTGCGCCAAACCCCCGAAATATTGTGTATAGTGTGTATGTGTTATATGATGTGTAATTATATCTGTATCATTCTTTATATAAGTCTTTCGGGATCTTCATCCCATTTTAGAGCATTCAAAATGATTGAAACACCAACAAATGGAAACTAACAGCCAAAATGGCCGTCCAACTGTAAAAATTCAGCCTGCCAAAATGAACCGCTTGACTTTCGACAGCCAGTAAAATGACGGTTGAACCAAGTTGAAAGGCAAAATGCAATCCAAAGCCATATGTTCTTCAAATCTTAGTCGATACCCCCTCTGGCTAACATGATAATAGAAAATCCACCATGCTTCAATGATTTTCTTCCACCCGACCTCTCCACGGAGCGGAGCCAAGGGACCCTCATCACACATGGTGGAGAGCCACTGTAGACTGGCACCCACAATGCCTAGAACTTCGATGTCTCAAAACGGGCGCCGTTTAAGGAAAAGGCACAGGAAAAATCAGGATTGGCTTAACGGGAAAAGCCAAACCGGAAACCGCTAGAAACCTCCAATAATCCCCAATCATCAACCAACCGGGGTGTAGATCGCAGCCACTGCTCATATGGAGGTTTCCTAGAATGAGAGTACCCCAAAACCATGGGTTCCAAACTTGGATGATGTGGGGTACCCCCATAACTTTGGAAATCTGCATATTATATGCATAAATCCCATATTATCCCTGTATGATATCCCCATTTTTGCTCTTTTCACTTAGGATCCCCCATATGGGCCCCATATGTTTCATGGTTTAAAATTCTCCAAGCGGCTCATGGCCCGCGCAGTGCCATGTTTCTTGGCGATCCTCGATGCGATCTGTCTGAAACCGGGCGCATCTCGGCAGAATCTACAGAACGTTCCATCGAAACCAAATGGTTATATAATGATCATTATCCCGTTTTTAAATGACTATAATTGGGAATATACCCTATTTTCAGACAAACCCATATGTGTGGTAATCTATTCGAATGTTCTAGTAAAATCATGGTCATTGATGGCACATTTTTGGGTAATGAAATAATTGTGATTCATGGTATCCTATGGCATTTGTTTGGTAAAATGCAAAATTGAATGTTATTCTCCAGAAATATCCAGAAATATGAAAAAAGCATACGCTTTGACCCCACCCCCACATCAATTTAAAGCTGTCAGTTCTGGACGTCCCTATTCATGTGGAAAATCAAAGGTATTCAGACATACAAACTTGACCCGAAGTAAATCCTGCAATTAAATCTGATAAACGACTCATGTTTCGCAAGCCATCCCCTGGTCTATAGTTTTACTTGGTGATATGTGGTTTCCAAAACATCCATCGACAGATGAAAAACGGGCTGCTTTCATCCCAGTCTCACCAACAGCAGCTGCGAATGGATCCGCTGTAGGTCTTGGAGCGTCTTTCCTGTGGGGGTCACGGTGGGGCTGTGGGATGTTCACAAACCCATTGATGGCTGGTGGTTACCCTCTGGTAAACTAACAGCTTGCTATTGAAAATTGCTATTTATAGTGTTTTTCCATGTTTTTCCCATCAAAAATGGTGATTTTCCATAGTTATGTTACTTTACCAGAGGGTATGGATGTTCGTCCCCCAAAAAAAATGAGGGAACTACAAGATCTTGAAGGTAGAAAAAAACCTAAACTCGTTGGTGGTTGAGTCGCTCATCATAGAAATCTGAAGCACAGATCATACTCCTGGACCCCCAAATCAGAAAAACAGGGCGGTTTCATCATCGCCCAGTCTCCAAAGATCAGCGCATCCAGTGGGGATGGAATCGGCCCTGGGGGATACATGCCGCTCATTCCGCTGCATCGAAATCTCGTGGCTGGAAAGTCTGTTGATTCTGCTGATCTCCGAGTTCTTTTTCGTGTCCATGGGGTGATGATGCGATACATGGACTGCGGTTGTTGATGAAGTTGCTGCTGTGCTGTCATTGCACTCTGCGGATCACCTCCTGACATTGCGATCACTTGCACGGATCGGTGTTTCGCATTGGATTTACTTCCAAAAAAAAACAACAGTCTGGCTTAGCTCTGTTGAGTCTTTAATCTTTTGTGACATCTTCAAGAAACATCATCAATGACTCAATCATCATTCTCTTGGTGTCTTGATGTTCTAATTTTCTGCTGCGAAATCCGGGCATTTGGCATGGGACTTCTCCGCCCCCTAAGTGAAGCTCAAGCAGAAACAGCTGCCACGTGAAATTAAAGATCTCAACCCCTCAGACCGAAGCCTTGGATACTGGGGTCTGTTTGAAAATCAGGGATCTATGATCTAAGCAGGAACAATGTGCATATCAGTAGGGGAAAAATGGGATATAGGATATGTATATATATTATATAATATAATATTATATAATGTAATATAATATAATATAATATAATAATATACTATATACATAAAGATTATGATTTGGGTTGGCCCAACAATGGGGTATACCCCCAAGTTGTGGTCATGGAAATGGAGAAAAATGATGATTCACCATCAAATAAAAACGTGGCGGAGGAAGAGTTAAAACAGCATGAAACACAAAAGGGTGGTAGAAACCAACGTCAAGATCAAGTTTTATTTCAGACTCAACAAGCAAACATGTGGATATGATGCTGCTGACGACGTTTTATCATTCCCTTAAGAACCATCATTTGCGTTGCACTACTTGTCAGGCCACTCGAAAATCACCCACAAAGGACAACATTTGCACTTCCAAGAAAGTGTTTCAGCCCAAATTGGACAACTCGAATCCCCAGTTTTTGGCGGAGGATGCTATGGCCAGTTTGGGATTTATATAGCAAGATCATCTGGACAATCGATAATGAATCATGTATCGGTCGCAGTGCGGCTGCGAGGAACTATCCAAGTATCACCCCTGTTTGAGATAGGAATTCAACAAAATAATGACTAATGTGGCTAATATATGCTAATATGGTAAACCCAATCATAAACGTATTATTGGGTACACTCCTAGTTGGGAGGCTTCAGGGTTTTACCGTTTACCATATTAATCCCCATCGTAGTCCACTCGTTGGGGATGCCCTTGTCCCCTAGCTCCTCGTCCGCGCAAAATGTGTTTCTTCAGAAATGGGTAACGCATGTCCAATGGTTTAGAAACTCGTTTTCCTAATCTTTACCTGGCAATTTTGACCCAAATTTCCAGACAAACCTGAGAGTTGTGACTTTTGCCGCAGGCCAAATTACGGGGTGTCCCACCGGATGCCATAGAAGCAGCTGGGGTTCATCCAACTTCGCTTGTGACACTGAAATGTTGAAGGAAACAATGGTTTTTACCTCTCAATATCAATGAAGGCTGGAACCTCTCCACCCCCATTGTTCAGGACGGCGCTTGACAAAAATTGAAATTCATGCCATGGAAAAAAAGGAGCAGACTCACCAGACTCCATACATAAACAGAATTCAGAACAGATGTACACCTTGAAAAAATATCTTGACAGCAGTTTCCAAGAATTCCACCCCGGAATCAGTACAGTTTGACCTGAAATCAGCACTAAAAATAGTTATCAAAAACCTTTTGAACCCACCAATTTCTTCTGTTTTTTGGTCCATTTTGGTTGGACGGACATCCCCAGTCCACATATATCCTGATGCTCCTGGCGTCTTCGGAAATCGATACCGCGGCCGCGCGGCACATGCAACGGGAAGAATTGCCAGAAACGACGACAAATCATCGGTGAAAAACTGCGAATGAGACGTCCTGAAACCACTCTCTGGTTTTAACTAACATGGCTGGGCAAAAGCCATTGCTGATGGGAAAAACATGTTTTTGTGGCTGCAAATCGGGAAGTATCTCGGTTGCAAGGTTAGAGTGCCAGAGGGTGGATGTTTAGCAAATGAGGTTAATGACCTGTGCATATAAGTTTGGCATACGTTCAAACGTTTTCTAACATGAAGCTTCGCACCAGAAGCACGTGCAGATCAATATTTTTCACCTTTTTGTCGTGTCCTGGAAGCCAAGTCCCCACAGGTTTTCCAAAGACATCATCCCATGTTATTTGGTTCAAAGATCTGTTCGACACATCTTTGCCCCCTATCTGCCTGTGAATGAACTGTTTTAAGTCACCCCAAACTTAAGTTCCAAGCAAGTTAAGAGCGTGGGATCAAGAGCATGCTGGAACGGTTAAAGATTCAGTCAGGAAAAACATGTTGTGTCCAGAATTATCGCCAAAGCGCAGAAATTTCGTCCAGGTCGAAACATCAGCGTCGCCAGCGTCAACAAGGTAGATACATTATGATATATCCTCTTATATCCCAGCTGAAGTGTTTCATCTAGTTACCAAGCTAATTGGTCCTGGAGCCCCTCAAAATCAAAGCTATTGGGCCAATGGGCCAGTTTCCCCAGGTAAGGACACCGATTTCGGTCCCAAACACCCCATACTCCTATACTTTCACGCCAAGTAACTAGGGTCGAACTACTTCATGGGTGCTCAACCCAATAGATGTTTATTTTGGGCCATCATTTCAAGCAACACACATTTCTAATATAGGATACCTTGCCATCCTTGCCAAAAACAGAAAAGAAGTGTGCTTTGAGCTAGGTAAATCATTTGCCTCCACTCTAGCAGCAAGTTGAGATCACGTGCCTGAAGAAATGTTTGAAAACAGCTCTGAGTATCACAACCGCCGTCTCTGGGCATCAGGGTTGCATAGAACGGCCTTGGGGCCGATTCATCTTTGCAGCTTTGGCCCTTAGAAAGATTCAAGGTCGATCAGACTCTCATGTCATACCATTCAGAATGCTTACAAGTTACAACACGTGTCGGCTACTTGACTCCATACATGGTCATATCACCATGATACAGAACCATGATCATGTTTTCAGAATACAAGTGTATAGCTGTATAATATTGTGTAGTGAACACATTTAAGTTCACATCATAACAAATGAGTCTACTTCTTGGAACACGTACCGTGCACTGAACAATGCACACCAGAGATAGCCAGGTCACCATGTCATCCATGAATCTTTCCCTTAGCCTTGGTGGCACTGAATGGGTGCTCCCGACAGCGCGGCTATGGTCGAAACCACACCTGACGCACAGGAAAAGTCGGCGCAGCAAACCCGAGCGGCAGCTGGGCGCAACGCGGTTTTCTGCCGCTCTTCTCTTGCCATCTTTGATACTTCAACGGAATATTGAAAAATTCTGAAAGTGAAAGATTTAAACGGCCATATGAACATTTAACCCAATAAAGATGGACTGTGCCAATGCATAATGGAAATGAATGTGTCCAAAAGTTAGATGGCTGCCGGGTAACACCAGACAATTTGTGGGCAGAGCATGGCCAACAAAAAGAAATTTGGCTCCGAAAGTTAGGGATTCGCCATCTCAATGGCCATTTCAATCGGAAAAATGATGGAAACTCA